ATCCATGGGTACCTGCCAGTATCCCGATCGAAGATCCAGCGAAGAAAAGAATTCTGCACCTTGCAAACAGTCGAGAGCGTCGTCAATTCTGGGGAGCGGATAAACATCTTTGCGCGTGATCTTGTTAAGGCGCCTGTAATCCACACAGAATCGGATGCCCCCGTCCTTCTTTTTGACCAGTACCACCGGGGAGGCCCACGGACTGTTAGACGGCTGTATAACGCCACGATTGAGCATATCAGACACTTGATCGTCTATAACTTGGCGTTCGGCGTGGGAGACCCGGTATGGACGCTGACGCAATGGTGCGTGGGTGCCAGTGTCAATACGATGGACAATTGCAGATGTTCGGCCCAGACTGGTTTGTTTGAAGTCGAACGATGAGCGGAAGTGGTCGAGAAGTGTCAAGAGTTGAGTTCGTTGGTCAACAGGAAGGTCAGGATCAATCGATGGAAGGAAGACGTCGAGGGAAGAGGTGGCGGATGTGAGAGCGGAAGTAACACTGGCGATCTCAAGGCTTTTTGTTTGATAGGGCAGTTGACTGGTGCCAACACAATCGATGTCCTCAAGGCGGCCGATGCATTCGCCACGGAATAGGGTGACTGGTACAGAAAGGAGATTCGTGGCATAAATGTTTGCGCAAGTGGCTTCGACCGTCAGAAGAGCAAAAGGCAGAAGAACGTTTTTTCGAGAAGTGAAGTCTTCTGACGGCGTGAACATGACGTCCGAAAAAGCGGCATGGTCGCACGAGATCGGCACAATAACAGAAGACATGGGTGGAATATCAGTCTCCGCGGCGACGACAACACGAGAAATAGAAGGCTTATTATAATCGTCGTCGGAGAGCGATGACAATTCTAGTTCGGCCCGGGCACAATCAACAACGGCATGATGTGTGGAAAGGAAGTCCCAGCCTAATATGACGTCGTGTGAGCAGTGCGGAAACACGATAAATTCAACCACGTACAGAACGCCCTGGATGATTAACCGAGCCGTGCACGTCATAGAAGGGTTCACGTGATGCGCTGTTGCCGTACGAAGGGAGAGACCAGAAAGCGGAATCGTAACTTTTCTTAACTTGCGACACAATGCTTCACTCAATACAGACACGGCAGCTCCGGTATCTATTAATGCTTGAACGGGGATACCTTCAATCAAGACAGTTATTTCATTATTCGGTAGAGAACGAGGCCTTGTGGAGTTCGACGGTGGCGCAGTTCTTGCCTCCGGAACTGCGATGGTCAGTTTTCCGTTTGGGCAGGTGGTGCACGCCGAAGCATTGGTGAAGGCGAACGTCGGCGCGGGGAAGGCGATCGGCGTGGGTTGAAGGCGCGGCGGCTCGGCGGAGAAGTGTCCGAAGCTGCATGGAACGGCAGCGTCTGTGGTGGTTCTGTGGGGGCGTAGCCGTAGGTGCCATCAATAATGCCTGAGTGAGGGACGCGCCGGCGACAGAACCGCTCAACATGGCCAGGCTGACGACAGTAATAACAGATAGGTCTGTTATCCGATGTACGCCAAGGGTTGTTGGGAAGCGTTGAAGGACGGCGGTAAATGGGAACATGCGAGCCTGCCGGTACGTGTGTTGCGTAGAAGGCGTTCGCTTGGTGGGCAGGGTCGACGACGTTTGACGGCGCATGTACCTGCCTTCGCGCGACGTCAGCGTAAGTCAGGGGAGCGGACACAGGTGGTGGCTGGTACGTGGGGGGAAGTGCCTCGCAGACTTGCTCTTCGATGGTTTGGCGCAGTGACGAGGTCAGCCCATGCGTATTGCTGGGAAGCAAGGGGGCAAGGGACAACTGGCGTGCCACTTCCTCTCGGATAAATTGCTGGATTTGCGGGGTCAATACAGTCTGTTCTGGAGATATTGCACCAACGGTCAATGCTGGCGTGCTGGTCATGTCGAAAGTAGGCCGTCGCGTTGAAATGCGCTGTTTTCGCAACTCATCGAAACTTTGGCAGTGTTGGATGACTTCCGAAACTGTTTGCGGGTCTTTAGCCACCAGCATGTGGAAGGCATCGTCCTCGATGCCCTTCATAATGTGTTTTACCTTGGCGGTTTCCGACATGTCAGGATCAAAGCGACGGCAGAGGCCTACGACGTCCTCAATGTAGGACGTGAAACCCTCTCCCGACAGTTGGGCGCGATCCCGCAAGCGCTGTTCTGCACGGAGCTTGCGCACTGTCGGTCGGCCAAACACGTCCGCGAAGGTGGTCTTGAAAGTGGCCCAGTCGGTAAGCTCGGCTTCGTGGTTGTTGAGCCAGAGCTCTGCTACTCCTCTGAGGTAAAAGTGGACGCGGCCCAGTTTGTCGTTTTCGTCCCACCTGTTGTTGACGCTTACTCGTTCGAACGAAGAGAGCCAGTCCTCGACGTCCTGCTCATCGGTGCCGTTGAAGATGTCTGGATCTCGCTCTCTCGGGACGCCGGGACAGTGGACAGGTGGAGATGTAGGAGCCGTCTGCTGTGCAGCGTCGATGGACATTGTTGATGGCGAAGGTAGAGTTCGGTTGCGGAGTTCCAGGATGGAAAAAGGTACCCAGCACTCTCCACCACTTGCTAGTACACCTTTAGTGGTGAGCAGAAGAGACGTTTACTTTGTGGAAAACGTAGCGGTAGAACCGACCAGCTGTCAAGCGGAGCGAGCGCGAGCAGCAACAACACTCTTCCTTCTCTTCTTCAGCTGGCGTTCCGGCCTGTGCCAAATATCAATGCTACAATTAGTACTTTTCTATGACTCGAGCGGAACTCCGAGATATTTAACTGGCGTTTTTGTCCATTTATTACAAGGCCAAGATGTTACTTGCAGCTCTTCTTGGAAAGAACACTACATGAATGCCATGTAGTGGAAAGAGTATCCTTAACGCATTTTGTTCGGAAGGTGTCACGACGAAAACGAGCCCATTCGGTGATTTGTACACGCAATTGGGAGGTCATTAAACTACGTTGAAAAAGGCCGGTGTGGTGCAGCCAGCACCGCTAAAAACACACAGGAACTTTCAAACAGCCCTAAAAAATGGACAACTATGTTCACGTAGAGGAAAACATATCATTCTTTTCCAGAGGCGTTGATCAAGGAACCAGCAAACGCTAGATAATGTGCTGCTATTCGTGAGGCATTGCGAGACTCTTTATAACATCGCAGCGATGGCGAGCGCACGGTGCGTATCTTGGATGTCATACGACTCTTGCTTTAGAACAAAAACCCGTCTGTACATACCATTAGCGCGCGCGCGCTGTACTATCTACTGTGTGTGTGTGTGTGTGTGTGTGTGTGTGTGTGTGTGTGTGTGTGTGTGTGTGTGTGTGTGTGTGTGTGTGTGTGTGTGTGTGTGTGTGTGTGTGTGTGTGTGTGTGTGTGTGTGTGTGTGTGTGTGTGTGTGTGTGTGTGTGTGTGTGTGTGTGTGTGTGTGTGTGTGTGTGTGTGTGTGTGTGTGTGTGTGTGTGTGTGTGTGTGTGTGTGTGTGTGTGTGTGTGTGTGTGTGTGTGTGTGTGTGTGTGTGTGTGTGTGTGTGTGTGTGTGTGTGTGTGTGAGAGAGAGAGAGAGAGAGAGAGAGAGAGAGGGGGGGGGGCAAACATATTATTAAGCATGCACTGTGCGTTTGAAGAGCGAACCAGGGGCCGGATTTCGCTATCGCGTTCAACTCTCAAAGGCGAAGCTCAAGGGTCCCTCAATTTTTTTTCTTTCGTTTCGTAATTATACCACCACTGAAAGCACACAATAACGCACGTCACTTGCAGTGACATTTTGTGCTACAGGGGGTTCTGGTGGCAGTATGGATCGTTTGGATACTATTGTAATCGACACATTGTTACCGGTGCTATGGGTGCAGCTTCTGCTACAGCGGTATGTATTAATGGTCTCATGCCAGTAATGGCATCACCGTTCAGCGGTATGGAGGGTGAAGGTATCACAACGTGGTGTCATGCAGTTAGTTTTAAAAATGTCATTGACGCACTTTACCGGCTACAACTACCGTTCTCAGATGGTGACGTCAAGAGGATACGATACACTTCTTTGTGGTTGAAGCGTCTGCATGCCGAGAGCAGCCACAGATTGCGTGGGTTTCCAAATTAATCTTTGAATAGGCGCTCGAATTACTGGTTTACTCACTCTACATGCCGAACAGTTCCATAATACGGAGGAAAAAGTCGTGGCTCCTTGAAGGCTGTGCAACATAGGGCCGCAAATTAGAATTTTATGAAGGATGCTGAATGCATTGTTGGACAGCAAGCACAATTGATTATTTACAATTTGGTCCTACTACAAGCATCGCAAATAGTTTACACCTTAGATATACAAGCATGGATGACAATGTGGAACTCTCTCTTACGTTCGTACTTCTGCGCCTTGTTTTCGTACTCCATCGCCATCTCTGCACTCTTAGTTCTGTCTCCTCGACCATAAGGTGCTTTGCACAAGGAATTGAGGTCCACGGAGCGTGAGTGCTGGATCACAAGAGGACCGCCGTCATCCCATCCCGTGTGTTGCTGAACACACACGATCTAACAAATCAGCTAACTAGGTGTTCGGTTACAAACACAAGTCTGGCTGCGTGATCTCACTCACTTTTTTAACTTGCGCTATTGCAGAGCCGGTGAAAGTTCCACCATCACAAAAAAGGCGAGAGGCAACGATAGCTAAATTTTCTCGATTACTTCAGGGATGGGATGACCCGGCGACGTAATCTTCAGCCGCTTGTGCCTGATACATGAAGCGCTGCACTTTCGCTCATCTCTATCGAGATAGTAACGGAAAAATCTGTGTTATGTTAAGACGATATCACGGCAATTAATTCTTAAATGTTGTCTCACTCCACTCTCTCCCGCACCACTACAGTGACGACCATAAAAGCCTACACAAACACCAGAATAGGGAGGTGGCTTTGCAGTTACCACTGTAAAGTGTCTTGTGGTGTGTATCGGCAAAACACGATGTTACCTGTCTCATCTGCGGAAGGTAGTCAACGTCATCCTTAATTAACTAGGGCGTTCTATAACGCAGTGGCTGGTGGGCCGCCTGTTCATCCCGCTAGCGTTGGGCATGGGCCTGAGCGTGGACGAGTCATCACGCGTTGCTTCCTTGGTGGGCCTGAAGATGGTGCTCAATGAGGTGTTCGCCCAAAACGAGATGGGTCGGTTGGCTCGTGAAGGTCTGCTGTCCCCGCGTGCGCGACTACTGTGCACGCATGCCCTCTGCGGATTCTCGAGCCTCGGCGCCCTGGGCGTCCAGCTGGGCGTAATCACCGCACTGGTGCCCGAACGGCTTTCGGACTGCGCCCGCGTCGCGGGACGCGCACTGATCGCCGGTTCGATCACCTGCTTCTTGACCGCTTGCACCGCTGGTAAGAATAGAATAAAGGTAAAGAAGGAAAGGCAAGGGGGTTAACCAGGTCAGGAAAGCTGGTTTGCTGCCCCACAGGTGAGAACACGAAAGGAGAGATTGAAGAAAAGGAAGAGGAAAGATGGGAAAGAGAAATAAAGATGGCACATAACATCAAACATACACAAACAAGGCGACGTGCTTGCTGGATTCCGTGCTGATTGGTTGAGTAGCCCGCAATCTCTGACGCCAGCGTAGCTCTCGCCGATTGGCCTGCCTTCCGCGATCTCCTGAGGCCGTGTAGCTCTCGCTGAGTTGTGCCCCGTCCTCGGATTGCTTCAACCGTGTCCTGTATCTTCCCTATCTGTTTCTTTTTCCTATCACTCTTGTGTGGCGAGTGCTCTCCCTTCTTTATACCTCTACTATTCTTTTCATCCCCCTTCTACCATCCCCTACAAGGTGCTGCGCCATGTCGCCAATTAGACTGAAGAAATTAGGTGCCTCTTTTTGTTCTTCAGCAATCACGCACCCCAAACATGCAGTCAGTTCATAAATCCCTCTCGCTCACGTGGTACAACACATCGCTGTCGTGGCCACTTGTCCAAGTTAGTTTTGCTTAGAAACTTTGAGTGCTTAAGTTGTCTTTGGCTATGATGTCCTGTGTGAGCGACATTCAAGAATAGATGCAACAGACATTCGTCTAATTACACGGTGCTCTAGAATAGGCGCTATTGACTATCTGAACATCATATATCGGACAGTCACACAGGATGTGTCGTAGCGTCTCCTTGCAACTACAGGCATCGCAAAAAGCGTTGTCGCTTGTCCCTGTGCAAAATAAAGTAGAATAATTAAGCAAGATCCATATTTAATCATCAGTGATGAAGCAGTGTGGCATCACTTCTGTAGAGTCAATTAGACATATAGACATTCCTCAAAAAACACACCGGTGGTAAAATACTGCATGTACCCTCTAGGTACAAATCAAAAAGAAAAAATAAGTCTGAAGAGGTTGAATATAAATTAAACTGCGACGTCATTCATTATTTCCCGGAGTTATAGTAGTCGGAACCGTGGCGTATGTCTTGTGTTGGGTTAATTTTCAACCTAACTTCTTTGTGCAGTCCAACTCCTTGTGATGTTGATGGCAATGCGATTATAAGTGCCCGGCTGGCATATGATTGTGCCATTACACAACACACAGCTAGTAAAGCATATTGTCTTAGTTCATGGAATGTATGCTGGTTACTTTATCGCCTAGTTGTTGCCACCGTGAGGAATGTGGTAAAGCAGTACATGATGAATTTAAGGTTTGATTAGGCGAGCCTGTGCCCAGAAAAGAGGATTACGTTTTTAACGCGATACTAGCGGCAGTATGCCCATATATTCTCTAAATTCGAAGTCAGACACGATATCCTTTGGCTACTTGTGTTCGCTTCCATCCGAAAAAGTACGATAGGGTTCGTGTCACCAACGCTAGCTGATAATACGATGATTAACTTGCTGTAAATTTTCCAGCCACAAAAACTTTCGGTCACTTGTCTATCTGTTTAAGTCACACGTCAAGCATCAAAGCAATACTGAAGCGATACTGTGCTGACGATGCTAAGGTGCTAAGCTTATTCTATTTTAATGGCCATCGACAAAATCTAGAACAATACGCACGCGATTATATGTAAAATGATTGCAATTACTGTCAGGAACTGCAGTTTTATTATTTATTGTTATCGTGCTGCAGTTATGCAGAAATCATTAGCCCGCACTGTTTGTGTTCGTAAATAAGTTTCACTATTTAATTTGCAACTACAAACTTCTACACTAATATTGCTTTTCTTCTTCACAGGCGCACTGATGGATACGACCACCTACGAGGTCCCAACGCTATTTAACAGTCATGACTTCGTCTAGAATACAAGTTTTTAAAGGTCAAAATGCCTTCATCAAATAAACAAGAATAAATCTTAACGTCCTAATGGCCAACATGCTATGGCTACCCAATTAATCCTGCCTGTATTCAACGACCACAGAAGTGGAGAAGAGAGAAGACAGGAAGCATTCAGCGACCCCCTCACTCCTCTTTTTTTTCTAAGCCTTTTGTAATAAGCAACCCGTTTCTGCAAACTTCTGTTGCCACAATTTGGTACATTGCAGATCTCTCAGCTGCATCTTAAACCTTTGACGATTGAACGACGCCCGCATCAATTGCACTCGAGAATCTGCATACTAACCCTGTACATTGCATGTGTTTTAGACGCCTCCAGTGAATATTTACACGCGTATATTTATTCAGTCTTATTTTCTCGAAGCACACGCAATTTCACCGTGGGAACTTTCCTTTAGATGCACATCTTCGCAAACGCCTAAGCTGAAGAATCACTATGCAGTAGTTGTTGACCACTGTCGAAGGAAAATGTTCTGTTGTGAGAAAAGCAGACAATAATATCTACAGTCATTCTACGAAACATCTTCAGCTATTTTAGAGCTATTCTACGTAGTTGAAGCTCTTCTACGTAATCCTTAAAATGATGCACCCAAAGCTATCCACCAAAAACACTCCGCTCTCTAGTGAAGTAAAGCGTGGGATGGGACTTGTTGGTATTTCATTGTTGAACCGCTCTCTATTTCAGCCACAGTTAGGACTCGCGAAAAGCCATCAAGCCTCTCCTTTCCTGCCCACACGCGCCGTCTTTAGTATACGTGTCTTTGAAGCCCCTGTTCTCCATTGTCGCCTACCATGGTGGATGAACGTATGGTTTTGGTGCTTGGAAGTTAACCCGAAAATCGCAGACTCGATGCTAGCCAAAACCGTAGCATTTCAGCTGAGCTGAAATGGTAGAGCGAACAGCCCCTTATTTACACCTCATCAACAAAGGCTCCTTGGGCTTCGCCTACCCTGTCTGGGCTTTTGTTAACATGCGTGATCCCTCTAAAATTCAGGGTCAAAGCTTTGGCATTAGCCTTTGTACTTTCATGCAACAACCCAGAAGGGAGTGGATTCTCCTTTTTGTTAAAGAGGTCTGTTGTTCCATGTCAATGAACGTTGAAGGATACCAGGTGGTCAAATTTCCAGAGCCCTCTGATATGTCCTCCCTCGCAATCATATCGTGGTTTTGGTATTATATGCTCTCAGCGATCAGCTACATAGAAGGTAGGGGGTTGAGGCAGGGTGGCCTCATGAAAAAAATTTCTGGCGTAGTGATAATTTTTTTCGAGGAACTTTTTATTGAAAGCTTGTGCTCTACTGCTTGCAACAAGATGAACTACTTTCGATGATTCTATCGAATGAGTTAGCGAACTTAAAGCGCTTTTAACCGTGTCAGCCAGTATGAGGCAGGTGCTTGTATTGTGATTTGAATGTCCTACTAATGTGTATTCCTTGTGTTTGCATGTTTTGCCAAGGCGGTAATATCAAAAAAGCAGAGTGGTGCAGTGGCAGCATGCTGGGTTTATAACCACGAGGTCCGTGGATCCAAACCACGCTCTGCTATGTGCTATAGTTCTCTTTTTGGCGTTACATACTCATAAGGGTGTGATGAGAGCTACAGCACATGTGTTCAATGTCAAAAAGGACAGACAGCAGAGTGGCGCAGTGGAGGCGGGCTGGGCCCGTGAACCAGAGATCCGTCAATCGAAATCATGCTCTGCTATGTGCCAGTATTTTTTTTGCGTTAAGTTTCTCATAGGGTGTGATAAGAGCTAAGAACATGTGTTTAGCCTCAAGAAAGACAGGCAGCAGAGTGGCGCAGTGGAAGCGTGCTGGGCCCATAACCCAGAGGTCCGTGGATCGATACCACGCTCTGCTACGTATTTTTTTTACTTTTGAATATAATGTCTCGATTGATTGATTTGTGGGGTTTGACGTCCCAAAACCACCATCTGATTATGAGAGACGCCGTAGTGGAGGGCTCCGGAAATTTTGATCACCTGGGGTTCTTTAACGTGCACCCAAATCTGAGTACACAGGCCTACAACATTTCCGCCTGCATCGTAAATGCAGCTGCCACAGACAGGATTTGATCCCGTGACGTAGGGGTCAGCAGCCGAGCACCTAAGCCACAAGACCACCGTGGCGGGGCAAACGCATAGAATATTGATTCCTAAAGCTGGCGAATTCGGAACGCTCGAATAGGTCCGTATCGCGGACAAACGTCGATTACAAAATTCTTATGAAGGTTCTAGCATCAAGGCTTCAGGGTATTATAAAAAATAGTGGCAAAACATCAAACGTGTGGGATCAAAGGTAGAACTATTACCACTAACATTCACAGGATGCGAAGGGTGCTAGAGTGCCGTGACGAAGCGTTACGTGGCGTTGCTGTGCTCCAGCTCGACCTGGAGAAAGCATTTGGCTGTGTTGCGCATGATATTGATACAAGTCATCATTAACATCAACAAAGGCACCATAAAGGCGATGAAGATGACGATTGAATAAAAGCTCGTGAGGGGTTGTTGCCACTCCGCCCTCTTGGTTCAAAGACACTGTGTACTCCGTCTACAATCGGTAAATATATTTCTACCTTCTGCCTACCCTCACCCCATGACATTTTGGTGGCAGTGCCGGGTAGCAAGACGGAGCTACGCAGCGGCCGACGCTTGATTTCTTCCACGGTGGCACAAGAGGTCCGGCTCCAGCTCCTCAGCGGTCACCGCAACGACGACAGTTGTTCTGCCCCAGCTGAAAGACCCTGGCACGTTCTGCGGGACCGACAACGTCGACATTGAGGAATGGTTGCCACTGTACGAGCAAACAAGCAGGAATTATCGCTGGGACGAAACGCTCATGCTGGCGAACATCCTATTTTACCTGAAGGGGACAGCCAAAGTGTGGTTTGAGAACCACGAAGCGGACATTGGCAGCTGGGATGCGTGCAAAAAAAAAAGATGCGTCAACTGTTCAGCAAATCGACTGACAGGAAGACAGCAGCCAAGAAGGAGCTGGCATCTCACGCTCAAACGTCATCGGAGTCTTACCTGTCTTACATACAGGATGTGCTCGCCCTTTGCCGCAAAGCAGACGACGGCATAGAGGAGTCCGAGAAGGTAGCGCACATATTAAAAGGCATTGCCAATGACGCGTTCAATTCGCTAATTTGCAAAGACTGTGACACAGTAGATGCCATTATCCGAGAGTGTCAGCGTTTTGAGGCAGCCAAAAGCCGACGCATGTCCCATCAGTTTGTTCGACTTCCCAACACCGCAGCAACATGGTCGTGCGAAGACATGCCTGTACCACAGGCACCACTGACTGCAGAGCACGTCACGAAGATCATCCGTCGAGACCTTGAAGCTATGTCTCCCGCTTCAACTTTCTGTCGTGCCTGTGAGTCCAGCTCCCAAATGGTGCCTTTAGTGCATGTCATCGTTCGCCAAGAGCTCCCGAACGTTGGCCTGGAATCTGTGTGCACCGCCGGCCCCTCCCGAGCGACTGACCGTCGTCCGCCAGTTTCCTACGCCCAAAGCCAGAGGTTCCCAGCGCGCTTTCGCAATCCCGCTGAGTGGAGGACTGCTGATGACCGACCCATTTGCTTTAACTGCCGTCGTGTTGGTCGCGTGGCCCGCTATTGCAGTAGCAGGTGGTATTGGCGTCAGCCTTCTCAAGGCTACAACCGTCGTGCAGAGGTAGATGATGGCCACTTCGGAACTCGCCACGAGTCGCCTCGGCCAGCCGGTGGTAACGGTTCGTCGACGGTGCATTGTCGGTCACCATCCACTGCCGGCCACCAGTCCCGCTCAGCGCTGTCTCGTCTCCCATCGTCGCACTCACTCCAATTCCGCCGTCCTTCACCGACTGCACATCTGGCTCGGGAAAACTAGACGATGCAGCTCCCAGAGGTGATGCTGCATCGACGATTCGCCAGCCAAATCCTCTGACTATGCCGACACGACGCAACCCCATAGACGTTAAAATAGACGATGCATGTGTTGTTGCTCTTGTAGACCCAGGGTCCCATATTTCGGTCATGAACTGGGAGCTTCGCCGCCGTCTAAAAAAGGTTTTAACACCGTCAAAAGTGCCGCTCAACCAAGTCGCCGATGGTGGAACTTTTGCTGTGCTTGGTATGTGCTCCGCACGTGTTAATGTTGCTGACTGTTCCACAACTGTGCTTTTTTCTGTGCTCGAGAAGTGCTCTCATGAACTCATCCTGGGCATGGACTTTCTTGCTGCACACTCTGCTTTAATTGACTGTGGAATAGGCTTACTTTAGCTTGAGCTACCTTACTGTTATGAGACTCCAACTACAGCTCAACCACGTTTGTGTTCTGTCGGATACGTTCGCCTGATGCCCCAATCTGTTACCTATGTAACCATGAGGTCTTTTCCTCCGGTACCCGATGGCGATTATGTGCTGGCACCGATTTCAGACGTGTTATTAGACAGAAATGTTGGCCTTCCTAATACTCTGTTGACGATTACGAGTAATGTGGCGTCTCTACCGATACTAAACTTCAGCTGGTGTGCTGAAGTTGTTCCAGATGGCATGACTCTTGCCCACGTCTCTTCCATCAGTGAACATTCTGTTTCTGCATTCATTGCAGACGCTCCTTTGCCCGCCGCTGCATCCTCTTCACAGAACTCCACTTATGCCGACTTTGACAAGATGATCGCGTCAGACCTCGTTCCAGCACAGGCAGCCGATCTCCGGCATATCTTGGCATCCTTCAGGGACATCTTCGACTTTGGCGACAGCCCTTTAGGAAAGACGTCAATTGTTGCTCACAGGATCAACAATGGAGACGCCAGCCCAACCCGATGACGTTCTTATCGCGTGTCACATGCAGAGCGACAAGTCATCCAACGTGAAGTTGATAAAATGCTTCCAAAAGACGTCATTGAACCATCTTGCAGTTCATGGGCCTCACCAGTCGGTCTAATAAAAAATAAAGATGGCAGCTGGCGCTTCTGCGTCGACTACCATCACTTAAACAAGGTCACGCACAAGGACGTCTACCCACTGTCACGGATTGACGATGCCCTCGACCACCTGCACGGGTCTACCTACTTCTCCTCTATCGACCTGCGTTCAGGATACTGGCAGATTTCCGTCGATGAATTAGACCGTGAAAAACCACATTTGTTACACCGGATGGACTTTTCCAGTTTAGGGTAATTCCCCTTGGCTATTGCAATGCTCCCGCTACAATTTGGAGAATGGTGGACTCCCTGCTACGG